ATATCAGTTTATTTACTTCTATTAGCGTTTCTTGGTTTGATAAATATGGCACAGGGGACTCATTCTCATTATCTGAATCAGACTGAACTCCTGAAAAAATTTAACAAATAAGTTTTAAAAAAATATGTATTGTATTTTTTTAAAACTTAAAACAATAAATATTAATGTTTTACCTGTATCTAAATCATCTATAAATCTTTTATCCCAATCTTCCGATAAATCATCGTAACATTCTAGCCCATTTTCATATTTATCTGAATTTGGGTCATATTGAATTGCAGCAGCTTTTGAAAGTTCAACCACTTCATTTTCTAAATCAGCTGCATCGATAGTGGCCTCTAAAGCTGTATCGCTTAGCTTGCATTTTTTAAAGCAATTTACAATTGTCTGTCCTTTTACATTTTCCCAGGCGTGTCTAATCCACCGAATGGCATCTAATACTGTCATAGATTGAATGATTTGTGATGAATTTTTATCGCAATCTATAAGAGAAAGGAGTCTTCGAAGAACAAAACGTCGGTTTTCTAATTTAAAGCAACGTATAACTCCTTGGTCTAGAGGTTGAATTTCAGACGTAGTATTTGGAGGCAGGAATTGAAGCTTTACACTTTTCAAGTTTTCGTAAAACGAGTGACATGGTGCATTATCCAAAAAAAGAATCACTTTTCTGCCTTGATTTGTAATTTTATTGTTAAAACTAATCAACCAATCTTTAAATATTTCCATGGTCATCCATGCCTTCTTATTATGATGATATTTTACTCCCATTTGTGATAAATCTTTACCTTTAAAACAATGAGGTTTCTTGGAGTGCAAAATGACGATGGGCTTTTCCTTTTCACCAGCAGCATTAGCACAAAAACACACAGTGAGCCTCTGTTTAGTTTGTTTTCTTCCTTTGGCCTCTTCTGCTTTCTCAACTAAACTTTTGGTAGGTAAGGCACGGAAAAAAAGTCCTGTCTCATATCTAAGTTATAAACATCACGATCTTCATAGCCTGCCAGAATTATTGGAAGCCTTGATTTCCAGTCTTGACACAAATCTTTATCAACATTAGCTGATTCACCGCATAATGTTTTAAAAACAATATTGTTTCTATTACAAAACTTATTTAACCATCCGTTGCTTGCACAAAAGTCTTCTACACCAAGTGATTCTGCAATCTGAATGGCTTTTTCTTTCACTAAAGTACCACTTAATGGGACGTTTTTAGTCCTAGCACATCTGAACCACTGAATTACAGCTTCATTTATATCACAGAACTTTTCATTTCTCTTTCTCTTTATCCCACGATTTTTAAAATCTTCATATTCTTTCAGTAAGCTCTCTTTGTTTTTAACAACATTGTTTATTTGATTCTTGCTGCAATTAAACTGTGAAGCCAATTTTCTTGCAGATGTTCCTTGATCATGATAATTAAGAACTTTGATTTTGTCACTCAAATCCAAATGTAATCTTTTGCTTGGTTTAGGTGCCATGATTTTTAATTTTACTTGTGCCTGAGCATAAAATTTCTAGTGTAAAAAACTGTGCTTCAATATGCCTTCACACTTATAGTAAATGAGGACTCTAGTTTCTTACTATCAAAAGAGTACAAAGGCTTAAACCTGTTATCCTTTGTGCACCCACAACAAAAGGTCAAGTTCCTCCCCCAATGCTCAAAATTTTTCAGCATAAAAGGGAAGTTGAATGGTCAAACAGAGTGTGATGAACACCTGTTTTCTCACTTATTTAAAAGCTTCTGAGTCTTCATTGTGTTAAATTCTCCCCTACCCCCCTTCTTTCTTGAAAGTGCAGCTGTTTGGAATTCCTGAACTCTTATCTCTTAGTTAAAGAATTGGACACACCTGTTTAGATTTATGGCCTTTATGAGAAGAAAAATGTAAAAAAATGGCTTTTTTGAGAAATTTAAAAAAAAAATGGCCTTTATTGGAGGTAGTCGGGAAAATGTGGCCCTCTAATGGGAGGAAAATTAACATTATGTCTATGGGGAAAATTTTCGTTCCTCAAAATATTGGCCCTTAATAGAGGTGGCCTTTAAGTAGAGGTGGCCTTTAGGAGAAGTTTCACTGTATTAATATAATTTGGTTGTCAGGAATTTTTAGCTTCTTTGACTGTAAGTGTAAGAAAAGAAAGATTTGTACCAGTCTTAAACATTTTGAAAAGAAGATATGTTTCAAAAATAGAACATTGGTGTTTGAACAATTAACCCTTTTGAAGGCCGTGGTAAGCATACTTACTACACGTTTTACCACTTTTAATTTAGGTTGCCATTTTTCAGTAACTTCAGCTTTCTTGAAGTGAGTTTGAATAAAATTGGTAACCATTTGTCACTTTTAAAAAACGTATAAAAGTTTTAAAATACATAATCCTTTTGAAGTTTGTAGCATATAAGGAATTTATTTTATAAATAAAGAAAAATAAAAGTCACTAAGTTCCTAATAGATCATGTTAAATATATTTACCACCAAAAAAATGGCATTTTTATAGACTGAATGAGTTTTTTTTTTATATCAAATACTGCTCTTAAAACAATTTCAATTCCAAAAATACTTTAATTTACCTTTACTAGAAATAAAGGGTCCATTAAAGGGTTAAAGTGATATTGACTTTTGACTCTCTATTTCATTCTTTGATTAATTATATTAATTTAAAGGGATTTTAACCATCAGTACACACACCATTGCCAATTATGACCACTAATATATATAGTAGTATGTATCATTTAAATATTGTTCGCTGACATTTTAAAAATAGTGGAGAGTGATTGCGAACCTAGTTGATGTTGACACACAAACGTTAAAACCGAGTTCGTTGCTGCTTTTTTGTTCTATTTGTTGGGATTTAAAATTGAAACACTTCGTATTCAAAATATATAAAATTCATGCAATATCAATTTTATTATGAATAGTAATTTTTAAATATTTTCCAGAAACTCTTTTAAAAATTGCATTTTCTTTTTTCAATATCACAGAGATACACCACATTCTTCAAACGATTTTATGAAACTTTCAATATTTTTACTAATTTGTTAACCCTTTTAGGAATTTACCACGAAATACCTGAAATGTGGCAATTATTTATGAATTATTCATTTGCCGCAGTGGACAAAATATTTTTCAATTAAATTTTCCGAAATCAGAATCATGCATTAAATGATAATAACTGCAACCACTAAGAACGATTCGCCCCAAAAAGTAGGGCAAGTTAGAATCTTAGTAAGAATTCAACTGAAATTTTTAATTTAAAAATTCTTCATGGAACTTAAATACATTTTATTTTAATTCAATAAATTTTAGAAAGATTTTGTAAAAAGATGAAAGAATTTAGAAAAAAATTACAAAACGTGAACTCAGCAAGATTATAATGACTAAAATAAATTTAAATCGTTTTATTTGGAATATTTCTAGGAGATTATTAAGTTTCTTCGAAACTTAAAACCAGAACTGCTTTATGTAAAAGCAGATAGATTAAAATAAATGATTGGAGTGTTTGATCTTTTGGAAAGAGCCGTTCGTGGAAAACTGTTACAATAATAAATTTCCACCGAAAGCAGTAAATGTATTTTTGAGGATAAATTAATTTTAAGTTACCGTAAGTTGAGAAGATTTGAAATTAAGTTTTTGGAATCCGAATAAATTGAAGAAATATGGGATGTTGAATTTAAATGATTTTGAAGCAAATATCAAAATGAAATATTCATAACAATTTTTATGTGATCTACAATCTTTATTTTTAATCAAATATTTTCATAGATTAAAAGCAAAAGAATTGCTAGCAAATATACTTAGTGTGCAGTTAAAGCCTATTTGATGATCATGCAGTTTATAATAAAATAGGATTTATAGTGCAAAATTTTTTTTTCTAATGCCACTTGCCAAATACCCGCAAGCTTGATTGGTTAAACCAAGGGAATTTCTAATCACTATCATCTTATAACTATCGACGAAAATATTTGCAAATTAAATACCTTCGTAACAACTGAAAAAATATGAATTCATTACATAACGTGAGTTTAAAGTTTTAAATTATTATAACCTTACTAAACACAAAAAAATTTTTAATTTTTTTTTCAGGCAGCAGTTACTTTGCCTTTTTTAGAGAGTAGGGGAGAGTGGGATCAATTGAAACATTTTTTACTTAACCATTTTTAACTAACAAAAAATCCAATATATTATTAGTATTAAATGACAGACGAGTAAAGTAGACTATCCTCTACTAGAAAAAAAAATCCTATTTTAAATTAAGGTATTAATTAGTTATTAACAATTTTTGACAGTCGTGCACTTGTTACAATTGTCCCCACTTACAGTGTCAATTGTTACAGTTCATAAATTCAACTAAAACATAGTTAATTATTCATATTATCATAGTTGTGATATATTTTTTTATTGATCAAAATAGTAGTGATATTTTAGGAGTAAAAATAATAATGAGCAGAGACCTAAAGGGTTAAACTTTTAACTTTAAGGGGTTAAAAATTTTAATTTTTGCTGTGAAAGGTAACAAATAAAATAATGCACATGCAACATAATATAAATGATATAGGAAACTATTGGTGGTTCTTACAGAGTTAAATAATGGTTTGTAAACATAAGATTATTTATTTTCAGCTGTTACAATCGTCCCTTTACTTATTATTACAATTGTCCCCAAGAGGCAATTTCAGCTTCATTTGTTAAAAACAATGCTAGTGAATTAACAAAACTAATCTTTTTTTTTAAATGTTAATTAAGGTGTCCACTTACGTATTCGGTTCATAATTTTTTTTGTTTGAACAAAATTACTTTGTTACAATATAATATTCTAATACCAAAAAAAGTACTTACGTAGCGTGAAAATATCTTGTGTGATGTAACTACTCATACTGTAACAGCTACCTAAATAATAACCATATAAATGTGAATATTCCATAGAAAACCAATGAATTTAACTAAAAAATGACTTACCAACAAATAGGGAATTAAACCAGCATACAAACACGCTAAAAATGTATTGATTTATACTGTAATATCCAAACGACGGAGTTTTTTTGCAAGTTCGTTTAAAATGTCTTCGACAGCTGGGGTAAATTTTCTATGAATGCTTAAGAGCGCCAATCCATTCATTCTATTATTTCCCGTTGAGTTGCGTAAATCAGTCTTCAAACGGCGCAAAGTCGAAAAGGATCTTTCGTTTGCACTCGTTGAAACAGGTAGAACGACCAATATTTCTAGGAGTTTGAAAATGTTTGGTGTTATATCTTTACTGCACATTCCAAGAGCATCCGCCGCAGTTTTTGGAACACTACCGCTTTTGGACTTAAGGCTTTCTTTACAGGTATCCAAATCTCCAGCGTAAAATTCCACTAATGCTTCAAAAGCCTTTATGTTTGAAGGTTGGCAAATGAAAGGATCGGCAGGTAGAAGACACTGAAATCCTTTCAAAATATCACGATGCGATACAAATCTTAAGTTTAATTGTGTTATAAAATTTTCTATAAATGGAATAAAAACACTAACTCTGAAATATGTTTCCGGTGTCGATGAGGGAAAATTATCGCGATTTTTCTGTCTTCCTGTTATTCTAGGGATTTGCATGGAAGTGGAAGATCCAATGCTTGTTAGCATAAGAGAAGAAGAGCTGAATATTTCAGAGAATGTTTCAGTGGCATTTTCACGCATTAATTTTAGATCTTTAATGACATCTTCTGCAAGACTCACTGCCTCTATCAAATCTATGCTTGTTTTTTGTAGGTATCTACAGAGATGGATTGTTATGGTGAAAACTTTGTAAATGCACAAAAGAGATATTACGAACTGGCAATTAGATACTGTGCACAGTAAAGAATTAGCCTGGGTAGCTGATTCCTTATCCTTCCATTCTGATATTTTTTGTAGTGTTTCGGCGATAGGCTCGAAAAGTTCCACCACAGCGGTTACTGAGTCGTATCTTTCCATCCAACGGGTTGCACATAGCTGTTTAATTTTCTCCCTCTTAGAGCTGGTTTCCATCTCCTCTATTGCTGAAGATAGGACATACTGTCTTTTTGGCGTATTTAAAAAGTCGTATAATGTTTTAATTGTCCCTAAGCAATTTCTAATGCCAGTTATTTCGCATGCATTTGATACAGCCAAATTGAGGCTATGAGCAGAGCAATGTACATAGAGTGCTGATGGGACAATACTTCTTACGTGGGCTTGTACACCATTAATTTTTCCACTCATTGATGCAGCACCATCGTACCCCTGTCCACGTAACTTTTTTATATCAACTTTCATAGACTGTAATTGGTCTAATATTGTTGTTGCTATTGCTTTTCCGGTTAAGTCATGCACCGGAATGAATTGCAAAAACTGTTCGGTGATGTTAAAATTTTCTTTATCGACATATCGAACGCATAACGATAATTGCTCTATACCTGCAATATCAGTTGTTTCATCTGCAAGAATGGAAAAGCAAGTTGCATCATTAATCTTGCTGACTAGTTTTTGCAGGATTAAAATATTGCAAACCTCAATAACTTCGTTCTGAAATCGAGGGCTGGTATACTGAGCATTTTTTCTGCTTGACTCTAAAATGTTCTTAAGAGTCGAATCGTTCTTACTCCGGAAACGAAGCAATGCCCGAAAATTTCCGTCGTTCTCTTCACCTGGTTGTTCAGCAATTATTCCCGAATCCTTATGTCCTCTTAGAGCGAGACCTTGATTTCCACAAAATAGGATGGTTTCAATGATTGGAGTAATGTTTTTTCTATTTTCTAATTTTCTTCTGCTTGCTGCACTGTCAACTTGTTCATCCACAGGTTTCATCTTTCCAAATAAAATATCGTTTAATGTCCCAGCAGTTTCGATCGATTTTTTGTGATAAAGACATTTCTCGTGTTCAGAAAATCGCTCTACAGCATTTTTCCAGTTGTCAAATTTTACATTGCACAGTTGGCCTAAAGGTTGCTTTCCAGAACCGGCACCACTTGGGGCGAAAAGTACACAAAATTTGCAAAAAGCACCACCCTTAACCTCTGAATATGCAAGCCATTTCCAGCGATAAAGCCATTTGTACTGAAATTTCAATTTTCTTTTTCCTTTTTCAGGAAAAACAAATGCTGGATTGGGTTCCCAAACATTTTTAAGTATATCCAGTTTTTTATCCTCGCATGTATTATCTTCTGAAAAAAGTCCAATGTCATATGGGTGGGAAGTAACACTTTGAGGGCCGCTTTCACATTCATCAGATTCTGTTACGCTAGAAACGTTTTCTTCAACGGAAGTATCACATTTCTGTTCAACAGAAAAACTTACATTGGTACTAGATGCTGTCACCTCACTAATTTCAGGTCGTGATTTTTTCTCAAAGTAATTAAAAATTGTTAAATTCTTGCGTTTAGACATCCTAAAGATCCAAGAACAGCAAAAATATATACATATATATTGGCACAGAAATATCCACTAAGCTACGATCTCAAAGTTTCGAGCTGGAATGAATAACTTCAACGAGCACAGAGTCTCCAAAACAAAACAGATTTAGAAACAAGCTCCGAAGGACAAGCGGCAGAGATAACTCTTAGTCTGACTAAAATCGAAAATAAATGTAACCCCCTTTCATATAATTTTTTTTAACCGCATCTACAAAATTCTCGAATTGTCTCAAAGACGACAGAACGTCTAGGATTCCAGACCTCGCGAATGCCAGCCAGTCTCGAAAACTATCGCGACTGGCAGGTCAGAAAGGAACCAGTGATCGGGGCTCGCCCGTAACAGTATCACGTGAATTTGGTTTCAAAAATACAACCCTATTATAGTAAATGTTTTATCAGTATTCTGAGAAATACCGTGAGAAAAAAAAAGTAGGCATAAGGCAAATAAAAATATATAGTCTTAAAAAATAATAACCCGCATAATTTCTACTAAAATTTTTATTTTTTTCTGTATTATTTTGTAAATTCACTTTGTCTGAGCTCAAAGGGGGGGGTTAACCCCTAACCCCCCCTTGCGTACGCCCCTGCTCCCCACAATGTTATGCCTTTGCTTAAATTTGTATAACCAATCATTTGATGCTTTAAAGTCCTGTGACCCCGAATATTCAGAAACTTCTGCTTTTTTTGAAATGCACCTAACTTACAGAAATATTTACATTCTAACACATTCTGAACATTCGAATCTAAATTCATCTCCTAAACATTCAAATAAAACTGTTCCGATAATTTATGATAACAGTCATGAGAAATTTTCACCTTTTTGTGCTCTCATTGCTGCTGGGCCATCATCTCCTACATCTGAAAGCCTCCACACGGTTTTTTATCAGTAGTCTGAGCAGACTACTCAAAAAGTGAACCAGTGGTGCGAATGAGACCAAATTCTATTTTACAAGTAATTAAGAAAAACTTAGCCCGTTTATTTGAGAATTGAATCTTTGGTGGTTGACTAATGAATAAGAACACTTATATCCGTAAATTTAAAAAAACTTCTAGACGCATATTTGCTATCACTCTCTTATTTTTATAAATATTCTATTAAATGGCTCTTTCATAAACTAGTTTACTTTCATAGTGGTTTGATCGGACTACCTATAACATATCTGCCAACTCTTCCGGATTTTCCGGAAGATTTTATTTTCATATTTAAAGTGGTAGTAAATATTACTATTTTTTCTTTTATAAACTTAATTTTTTAATGATTTTAATCACCACTATTTTTAGAAAAATTAAGCTGATATATTGATATGCGTTACTAACATGGTTGTCAACTTAAGTTTTTTCAAATACAACGTATTTGTTTTCTTAAAATTGAAGTTTTAATTCCATTTTAATACCACTGGGAAAAATGATAATGGATGGGATTAAAAGTTGGCAGGTATGCTATAAGAAACCGTGTGGAGGCTTTCAGTTATAGGAGGCGTTGGCTGGGCTGCAAACTGTTTTATACAGTAATAGACAGTAAAAACTAAAACTTTTAGAAATTTCGCCAACATTTTAAAATTTTCATCAACAAGTTTTATTTCGTAGCAACCTTTGAATGATTTGCATGAAGAGGTGTGGTTAATATTAAATCAAATTTACAAGACAAAGAAACAATAATTAAAACATCAACTAAGCCACCATTATTGGAAATTCAAAGGATGGAAAAAAATAAAAGTGTAGAAAGTTGGCAACCATCTTCTTTTTAATTTTTGTGAAGGATTTTCGTTTTTTTTGTTAAAGTAGTAAAAGAATGCTTAGGTTATTGATTTTACTTTTGTGAGACAAAGTATATTTATAATGATTATAACTATATATGATTAGCGCAGTGATTTATAAATGATTTAAATAAAGGTACAAAAATTCGATGTGATAAAAAAAATGGTATTGTATGTGTGCGTAGTTAAATTCCAGTTTAAAATCGAAATATCGTTATACAGGGCTGCTCATGCTCACTACTACGCTATTTGCAAAATATTTTATAGAGTGGTAGACAATTAAAAACTAAAGTCTTTAGTATTTTTGCCAATTTTGCCAACATTCTAAAAGTTTCATCACGAAGAATCCGGAACAAGTGGCGTTTCCTATGAAATTTTGAATTTTTTACATATAGTAGTGCAGGAAATAACTTTAAATAAACTTTACAAGACGAAAAATCATCCATTAAAACGTAGACTTAGCTTACCACAAGAAGAAATTTTCTAAAAAGAGAGTAGGAAGTTGGAAGCCTTAGTTATACCTTCCATTTAGGTGTTAGTTCTCGCTATAAGCCCCTCCTTTTCTTCCCCAGTAATTGTTTTAAATTCCTATGAGAAAAGGATTAAATAACCTCAGAGGTTAGGTACCTAGCAAATACCTTAACCCCTTCTTTCTCTCTCCCGTGAAAATGACGGGGTGAGGTTTAGCCCTCTATTTCTCGTTCCCGTGATATTTCAGTAGTAACGCGCCAATAAGAATAAAACTAATTCATTTCTTTTGCCCGGAAGACATTTTATTTCTCCTTTTACACACCAGATGGTAGTACCAGGATATTTTCAAGGTAATTGTAGGTAGTTAGTTTACTTTGAACTAGATGTCAGCACTAATCAAATACGTGTATAAAAAATAGGCACTTTTATGACCGTTTTCTTGAAAATTAACCAATCGTAAAGAGGTTAAGTTCTACAAAGAATTTTAATGAGAAAAATTAAAAAAAGGCAGCAAATGTCTAAATTCAAGCAAGTTAATTCGAGATAGCAATATTTTAAATTAATTTTGTTAAAAATTATTTCAATTATTAATTATTGGTGATAACCGCCTTTTTAAAACTAATATATAACTTTTTTGATAATGAAACAATAGGCTTAGACCCACAATAAATTTACATACCGATAATTTTATTGAATTATGATTTAAGCAAATACTTTTATTCAGTTTAAAAAAAGACCTTAGATAAAACTTAAAATCTTTAAATACCAAAATCTTTTTAGATTCAAATTAAGTACATTTTTAATACTCTGGAGTTTTGAGAATAGCTTCAAGCTATGGAGCAGTTAAATTCTTTGTCTTTAGATTTATTTGCTTACCTAAAAAGTCAATGCATTTAAATCCCTTTTTAATTGGCCTCATGTGCCTTAACAATGAAAGACAATTTTATAAACATTTGTTTAATCGATGAAATAAAATCTGAAAGATTAACAATGATTTCATTTTTAAAAATAATGAAACAAACAATATGTAAAATTAAAATTTGGCGTGTAAGGTGTTTTTCAACACTAATAAATATCCAGAGGTAGTAATTATATAATTTGTGAAAATAATTAAAAAAACAATTAATTCTTCAAACGCTTAAAGAATTTGCAAACTTTTTTAGTGTGTGAAATTATTTTGCTGATAATATTTTAAATATTAATTTATTTTAAGGGGTTCTTAAATGACAAATTAAATTTCTCAAAGAAATTTTAATAAACAGAAAAAAGTTGGGTAAGAACTATATCGGTAAGAACTATATTGGGTTAGAACTATATTGGGTAAGAACTATATTGGTAAGAACTATATTGGTAAGAACTATATTGGGTAAGAACTATATTGGTACGAACTATATTGGTAAGAACTATATTGGGTAAGAACTATATTGGGTATTTTTCGAAGCAATCATAGTGCTTAAGACACAAGCATTGGGTTACGAAATCCACTACTGGTATACGTTGAGAACGTTTTGTAAGTTAAAACATGTGAAAAGTAAAGCATTCCCGCAACAGCTCGTAGTGGGCCATAGAGGTTAAAGCTCCACAAATTCGTGGTCAACAGCATGATTGTGGCAATGGGGTCAGCCAACGCCTCCTATAACTGAAAGCCTCCACGCGGTTTTTTTATAGGTAGTCCGATCAGACCACTTAAAGGATATCCACTTTCCGAACGAGTCACTTAATACAAAATCTAGTCGAAATAAGGAAGTGGTCGCAAATATATGACTAAAAATTTGTTTTATTTATGAATATTGTTGGTTTGCCTTATTCACTTGTCAACCACTACAGATTCAATTCTCAAATTTATATGATGAATTTCTCTCAATTACTTTCATAAAAAGTTTTGGGCTCATGCGCACAACTGGGTCACTTTTTAAATAGTCTGCGCGGACTACTTATAAAAGACCGTGTGGAGGCTTTTTGATGTAGGAGGTGATGGGTCAGCATGCTCACAGGCTGACTTTACTTCCCAGACAAGCTGCTGCTAATCGATTATTAAATTTAAATAAATAAATAAATATTAAAAATATTCATGACGGTGAGCAAAATTTAAAAAGTGAACATCTGGATTAACTTTTAAAATAAGGAACAGAGTTTCACAAACTAAGAATCCATCTTAATAACTTGAGGATCCAACCTTAAACGTGCTAATTAATTAGTGCAGTCGGTATGTTGAGGCATCCTAGTCGGTCCAACATATTTTGGTTTTGAAATATAAATAAAACCAAATAAAAATTTTAATTTTATTTTTGGAAAGCCTTAGGACTTTTTTCCCCAGATAAAGTAAATAGAGCCTAGTAAAAGCTAAGCATTGTAAAAATTAATTTTAATCCTTAAGTAAACCCAGTGGTGAAAGCGGGACGGAAAAGAGAAAAGGCTAGTAGTCAAACTGTTTTAGTTATACCTAGTTTTAGGGAGGAGTTTACTTATTCTTTTTTTAAACTATTCAACAATTTCTATTTTATCTTGGAAAAGATGCAGATT